TACAGAGAATTTGCCTGAAAGCATTTAACATGGGTGCGAAGCGTTTGGTTATTTAAATAAAAAATTCTCACGTACATGATGAAATAATGAAGGAAAACCAGTTATTATCTATTGTTCTAATAAACACACAAATGCAATAACGGATTTAAGGTGATTGCTTTGCACTTATTGATGTGGGCATTAATACAATTTGCGTGGGATTCACGGGGATTATTGGAAATAGAAGCCTAATTTAGTGATAAGATCGTAATATAATTTCGGTGTTGAAAAGAAAGAGCGCAATAGTTGCGTAGGACGTAGGAGGTGGCCTACGTTCACTCTATCTCTGACGTCAATTGCACTCTAACCACAAATTTGCAGAAAACAGGATCGATTGTTTTTAGTTGAGGATGGCCGACAGCCATATGTTTCCTCTGGTATTGTTTATAATATTTAGTGTTTTTAATGTAGTGACACGGTGCTCGGATTTGAGAAAGTTTCCTCTCTTGATGCCCAACGTCTATCCATACAAGGTAAGAATCTCCCCGTTCTTTAAAACCATCATAAATTACCAATCTTAAGACTCAACCGACACAACAAACTCAACTTTGTTTAACCAAATTCTTGTTTATAATACATCTCGAAATTAGCTTTGTGCAGTGTTATTAGATAGATTGCAGTAATTGCTATTAAACCTGCAGTTTACGTATATATTATGTGAAGTTTTTTTCACTATTAAAAATCATATTGTCAATATAGGAACAGTATCAACTAACACTAATGCTAAATTTACAGTGCTTAATTGGTGTTGTCATTAACCATCAGTTGCCATAAATCGTTTAAAGTAAAATTATATCACATATATGTATTACATATTAAAATTTAACAGCTGTAATAATCGAGTCGCTGAAGAAAAGCAATTCAAATGAAAACTATAAAAACCAAATTAAAGGAAGTTAAAAAAAACCCACACCTATTGTTGATGCACACATATTTGATAATATAATACGACTAGATAATGCATTGGATAATGCATAAGTCAGAACAGATGTAGGGACAAGGGCGAATCCAGGGGGGGGTCATGGGGGGTCATGACCCCCTTATTCAATTCTCTATCCAATGATGCCAAAACGAATTCTGTGGCTCGAATGGTTGTTGAGAAACTTCGAAAATAGCAGCCTCATGTTCAAGTGGATTTTGCAACTCAAGAAAAAACCACGCAAATCTGAAACTTCTTGAATTCAAGCCTTTTTTGAGAAAACTGCCAACATTTCCCCATCCATGGTTCACTTTCTAAAAAGGCC